AATCCACCAGAATGACTACTAGGCTGACTTAATTATTAAGTTGGTTTGGCAACAATTGGGTCAACTAAATATGGGAATTTGGCGTCCACCGACCTATTGACTTCCCAAGGGGTTACATAAATCATGAACTGCCAAGTACCCCCCTCCCCCGCCCCCACACTGGGCGAGTGCCTATGACATATCTGATAGTGTCTCCGTCTCTGCTTTATCCTTTTACAAGACACTTAACGCTCGTCTCCGATTGCCATTGTACGCCCCTTTTCTGTCCTGGCTTCCTGTCCGTTTGCACTCTCTCCCTTTTCTCCTTTCCTATGTTCACAGAACCGTGCAGCTGCACAGGAGACTTTGGTTTCTACGACACCTGCCGCCACTACCAACTCCGCTGCCGCGCCCGGTGGCAGCCTCTTCAACCTCATCGACACCTCGCTATCGGCGGCGCCCGCTAACGCGCCTGATCCCTGGACTCCTGTCGCTCTGCCAATCAATCCGCCACCCAGCAGTCAACCTCGGAACTCGCATCTCCCTCGTCAGAGTCAGTCTTTCGCTGTGGAAGACCGCTCGTGTGTCGCTGCTGCCCCTCCTCCTTCCGCTGCATTGTCTCTTCTTGATGACGCGTGGACACCCAGAAGTGCGTTCGTGCATTTCTTTTCCTTGTGTTTTATCCTCATCCGCCGACTCCTACTGTCCCTTTACACACTTGCCTTCACATCGTCCATAACACCTCACTCACATCAATCTCTAGTCCCCGCGCTTTCCCACTTCCCTGCGCCTTCTATCAAAACCCTTGACCTCCGTCCCGCCTTCATCCTTCTCCGTCTCCAGGCCGGCACATTCCCCTCCTCATTCCCCCTCACGATCACGCCATCTCACCTCAATCGTGCTAGCCTCCCACCCTTTCTCACCTTTTTGTATCCTCCCTCCTTACAGCGTCGCCTCAGATATAGCGGTCCTGTTTGCCGTTTTAGTACTCTTTGCGTTAGAATTGATTTGGAAACCATACTTACTCAATGTGTATCTACTAACTGCAAGCGTAAACGTTGTCCTTAATTGATAGTCTATATTAAGCTGACATCTAAACTAGACCCATCCGATTCGACGATAACCACACTGCTTGAAGTAACCAAGAGTTTTAGTTCCCGCCAAAGGCCGATGTCGAATGTACTCGTTTGAAATAACTAGGTCCTCTTAAGACAGTAAAGGTTAAGTGGTCACTGGCCATTTCATCCCGAACCTTCTCGACATAAGTGACAAGGTGTGCTAGCGTGGACGACCTTGACGCAAATTCGCTCATGTTGTGTTATACTCTCTCTCCGTCTGAAAAAAAATGCAGCGTTTGCGCTTCATTCCCGGCTCACTTTCGAGTCCCGCCAGCGGCCTATGTTGGTTAGTATTACGGGTAGAAATGCATTACCGAAAAGGAAGAGGGAGACTAGAATGACCATTTCTGGCTTGTTAGCCGTCATCGGCCATTCCAGTTTCTACTTTTAGTATCATCACTCTGCTGTTCGACAGTAGGTACTAACCACACTATCC